AGTGTATCATCGACTAAGGCCAGTTCATTTTAACTTTAATCAAATTATAGGACCTGTCTGACTGTTCTGTATGATGTTTGACATTGGACAGTGTTGAAGACGAGAATTAATCTTTCTAATAATTTACTTATTGTCAGAAGTAACTAATTGCATATTTAATGCCTAAAACGTCGTTCGTATATACCTTACGATTGTTTCTATTACACACATTATGGTTGGAGACATATTCGCACACTTGTCCAATGACAAGTTCCATTCAATTCTATCTGATGTTTTTTTATTCATCACTCGGAGATTTTTTTAAGACTTAAAAGGCTGTAAATTTGAAACTCCTTATTCATCAGTAGTAGCTCTTTTCCTCGCAGCGTAAACACAATTTGACAGAAAGAGAGGAAATAGTTATTTTGTAAAGAGTGCCATTTGTAAGGTGTTACAATCTATTATATATTTTTAATTGTATTTTCAGCCGAAATGGAAAGCGAAGATTCGGAATCTGATGATAATGTACCAACTGTTTTGGTAAACGGAAAGCCTGTGACATTGACAAGTATTGACGATGACGTCATCGCGACAATGTCGCCGTCAGAAAAGGAAACATATATTCAAGTTTATCAAGAATTTTACAGTCATATGTACGATTAGATATTAAGTAATAAATGTTACATTGTATTTGTTTTTTTTTCTTAAATAATAATATCAACAATTGAATGGTGAACATATACGATATATATAATAAAATGATATCGTACTTCCCTGCTCTGGAGCAGTGTTTAGGGCCCTTTAAGCTTAACCCTGCGTCTCTCGACCCTGTCTTTCAACGTGCGCAGTTAAGTCTGGGTGTAGGCAGATAACATATTTGTCTATATTTGATAAAAAAGATCAAAGAAACAGATCCAATCTCACGCCAGTACTTGGATCGTAGCGCCACTGGATTACTTTATTTGTCTTGAACTGGTTCCCGAGTGCAGCACGCGTGTTTTAGTGTTGATATACATTTTTTTTCATATTATCTATGGGCAGAACGGCCATTTTCTTTTTAATCTTCTAATGTTATTGCATTTCACGGTTGTGTCAATTTTGAAACAAACAAAAGAAAATTATTTCCTATATGCTATGGATGTTCTAACTATAGCTAATATAAAACGCCAAATATAGCAATTGTATTAAATCGCCAATAACTAACAATGTTATTAGTTATAGTAAAAAGGTCAAAAAATACAAATATTTATAATAAAATAAAAGATTACCTAACACTTTCGTCTCGTTTATTTAACAGAAAATAAATATTTTAACGTCTAAAAACTCACAAAACGTGATGCTTTGGTATTTTAAGGTCTAGTTTCGATTAGCTTAAAATTGTAGAGTAAATTATTGTCTATGAAAAGTTTTTACTTAATTATTAAATATTTTCAATATTTTATGATTTTGTAAGAAATGTGTTAAAACGTTTCTAAACATGAAAGTTGTTGTTTGAACTAAAGTACTAAGTCTCACGATATACTTTAGTAGGTCTTGTTAACGAAAACATAGATTTTTTTATAGGCAACATAAAGCGCTTCGTGAAACTAATTGGAAGCACTTCACTTCACTTTATTTATAATGGCGACTTCTGTGTAAATCACAATTCCGCCAATGTCACGTTCTTCTTCTTACACGGTGCGGGTGAGGATAGATTTGATAATTTTGATAGATTGAATAGATTAATCTAATAAATATAAGCAGAGTTACCCAAAACAATAAAGACAACACACGTCACACACAGACATCTAATAATATATACAAGAGGTTAACATTATACTACAAGGTATGGAGGGGAGAATCTTATTTATAACTTTAATTTATTAACAGAAATAAATTTCGCTAAAATTTTGACGATCGGGCTGGATGGGAGGGAAAGTAGGGAGTTAAGGTTTCATGGACGAGGGAAATCTGGAGAAAGATGGTCAAATAACGAGTCATTAATTAAAGAACAGTTAAAAAATATATGGTCTGTCGAGCCCTCGTCCATACCACACTCACAGAGAGAACTGTCTTTAACTTTAATTTTGGCTAGGTGAACGGGAGTACAAACGTGCCCTATACGAAGACGGCAGATTATAGACGTGACCTTTTTGCTTAAAAACTTATATTTAAAAAACCACGGCGAAGAAGGGATTGAAATCTGAATATTAGCATAGGGCCTGCCAGTTTTTCCTTTAGAAGATTGCCAATCAATAGTCCAGGATTTTAAAAGGTGGGAGTACGCAAGAGCTGATAGGTCGTGGGCTGAGATGTTAGGATGCTGACAAGTTCCGCAGAAAATAGCACCTTTGGCACAAGAGTCAGCAGTTTCATTACCCGCTATACCACAATGACTAGGTATCCACAAAAGTACAATATGAATATCTTTTTTACTACACCTAAACAAAGCTTCTCTTATTTTTAGAATTGTATTATGTTTTTTTTTAGACCTGAATGGATTGGAAAGAATTGCCTGTAAGCAGCTGCGAGAATCGGAAAAAATTGTAACTTTATTCAGGTTGTGGGACTCAGAATACAAAACCGCTTCCAGGATTGCAAAAGCTTCACCTGAAAAAACGGACGACAATGGAGGAAGTTTGTAACTCAATACTGTTTTGTATGAAGGGACCCATATAGCCGCACCGATGCACTCATTACTGGGAATCTTGGAAGCATCAGTATACATCGGTAACCTACCCTGCCAGTCTTTTGAAATTTTTTCCAGAAAACAAATGGATTGGGTGGATTTTTTTTCAATTCCAAAGTTTAAAATTATTTTAGGATCAAAAATGAGGGATTCATAACTATTTAAAAACAAGGGATTACTAGGGAAACTTTTAACAGGATTAGGAAGACGAGAAAGTTTATTAAAACTGTGTAATAGGCATGGAACATTACCTGTACTAGATGGCATCGTGAGATTAGATAAGCGACGTAATTTGGACAAGATGGAATGTGAAGAGTATTGAAGAACTTTGATGAAGAAGCGGTCACTTAAAAATTGTCTACGTAAATACAGGGGGGGGGGGGTCAACACATTCTATTTGTAGAGCATTGATGGGAGAGGATTTCATAGCACCAAGGAGATTTCGATTGAATTTTGGAAATTTTATCAAGGGCTTGCTTGTTGCCAGGATCTAAAAGGAAGGTGCCATAATCAAAATGACTTCGTACCACAGCATTGTATAAAAGCTTTTGCGAGTAGGGATGTGCTCCCCACCTCACACCAGATAATGAACGGAGAACATTAACACCCTTCTCACTTTTTTTAATCACATGGTTGAAATGAGGAACACCGTTCAACTTTGAGTATAAAATAAGGCCTAAAAATTTTACATGCTTACCATGCGAACCCTACCCTGTATTTTGTAGTAAACGTGACCGCCGAACATTTGGAAACAGAAATAGAGAGACCATGATCATTCAACCAATCACCCAAGTAATCCAAAGCCGAATTTAGGCGTGATGATGCCTCTTCGAAAGAATTTGATGAAAAGTATAAGGCAATTGGAAGCACTAACCTACATAATTTTAACAACTGTCAAAAACTGACATCTGATTGTATTAACGTTTAAATGACAGAAGGATCAAAAATTTCCTGCTAAACTCCCTTTCCCCACAGATTAAAGACTTGTAGACTGAACGAGACAATACTTTAGTTAAAACAGTGTGATAAGATTTAGAGTTATTACGAATGACCTCAAGATTCAATCTAGACCAAAAAATCCAAGTGATTTAATTAAAATTAATAATTACAATGTCGCTTAATACTGTAACAATGACTGTATAATTTCAAAACATTTAAAATATATGTGCGTTTATGCCCTCGACAGAGAACATATCTTGTCAAAATAGTCTAAACATCAAAAAAAAATTTATAAAAAAAATTAACTTCACAATCCTTTTAATTGAAAAGAATCCATTATTTAGAAAAATATATTACAATTGATGGAATTTGATAATAGCAGAGGGGTAGTACCATAAGTAGCAAATTTTACGTAAACGAGTGTTTAAGAAAACACAAAGCATCTTGATTTTAAAATTAGATACAAATTGTATGTCAAAGGAAGATTTGGAAAGTTGCTTACGTAAGCATGAGCTTGATGAGCTTTACGTAAAATCTGCTTTAAGTATAAAAATATACAAATAATTAGAGTACTTACTTCTCTATTGGGTCATGGGTGGCGTCAAAAAATTCCATCATATATATAAATTACATCATCTGTCGTCTGGCATATAACTGATATATACTATGATTATTGTTTCATGTACAACCTTAATACAATACATTTCTTTCAATACTTACACTATGTTAAATTATTGTTTTAAGGGATAATGAACACTTAACAAGGCTTCCTAATATTTTTTTCGTAGTATTTTAATTACGAACGTCATCATTAATTTAAAAAAATGTTCATATGATACACATCAAAGGTCAATTCCACGAAGTTTTTATCACCAAAGAGTTTCCATTACTATGCCACGAGGCACACAATTTCTATAGTCTGTGCGGAATGAGAACCGTCGTGGGAGATCTTTGCAGTACTAAATTAGCTTTTTTGTTATGTTGACAACTCGGTTAAGTCATTACAGTTAGACAGAAGTTAAGGTCAAAATATATAGTTGTTGTTAAATTATTCGTAAAAAATAACAATTTTACATTAAATCTTCGCCACGCTGGTTGTCATTCCGCACAGACTACGAAGCGCGCCATTTCTAGTCTCTATTATTCTCTTAAGCGTATTTTGGCGCCCATCATAAAATTCAATGAGATTTAAAAGTCAATGAGTCTAACTAATACAATACACTTGTAATTAAATAGCAACATTATACACATTTTTTAAGCTAAATTAAAAATTTGTACCATGAGATGTTTGAAAAACACTTCTACAAAGGCACTAAAACTCTTAAGTACTTTGTACAATTAACAAAATATAACTACATAATAACTATTTGATAAAATTTCACTAATGAACACAAAATGACTATGATATGGAAGATCATATATTTTTACCCCATTTCTCCCAATATTCGTCCGTTTGCATTTCCATTATTCTTGACAGACATCTATCACACGCGAACATTTCTTCTTCGCCTGTAAAAATGGCCGCTCGAGAGTTTTCCTACAAAATATTCAAATATTTAATTCCAAGAATATTTTATTATAAACACCAACCGACCTCATTTACACTTACACACCAACACAATCACAATTAGTGACTATGGTTAGTTCCTTTACATTTAATTATCCTTTATATTTATTTCTGTCTTTAAAAATTCAAATTATACATTCATAATTTTAACTGCCCCATAAAACGCGTCATTATGCAAGATGTATTTACAGCAGTCCCTATGTTTTTAGTGCGTTAATTGTAATTCAGACATAAGCATGCTACGTCATCGTTGATACGACTAATCTGTGATCATTTTGTGTCACATGACTAACATTTAAAAATCAATATTTTTAAAAATGGATTTCTTGGTAAATTAACAATTATTTTACTCCATGTTTAATACAGATTATTAGCCATCATACAGCCAATTAGGTAAATGTTTGTTTTATTAATAAGTGAAAATAATTTTGCAGGTTTATTTCATTGTTGTTTTTCTTAATATATAATATAAGTTGGCTGTGGAATATAATGGTGAAGAAACTTACCGAATCCTTTGAAATGCTCAAATCATCCATTAGAGCTCTATCAGCATCGCCATACCCATCTTTTGTATCGTCTAAATTAAATAAGTTTTTTGGTTCACAGTCAGCTGCTATGACAACCTGTAAAAGTAAATTAATAAAAATCCTTCAACAACTGTAGGAATACAGGACTTTTGCCGACTGGATGTTTGAATTCATTCAATGTCGGTGTTAAACAAATATAACTCTGATACATTATAATGCATAATGAATAATAACATTTTTATTTTAACTCAACTAAAATGTATTAATACATTGAGCTTATAGTTCTAATTAGACACATTTAATGAGATTTAAAGGTCAGACACTTAAAACTCTTACCCGCACTTTGTTGTCGTAAAATGTGTCAATCAATGTTATGAATCTTCTAATCTGTGACCTATGTTTGACAATTGACAATTGAGGCAATTCTCTTATGAATACAGTGTGAAATGTTTTAGATAATATGAGGTAATCGCTGGCACCGAGCGGCTGAAACAAATATTTTTTATGTTTATTGTGAACATTATATAAAAATGAAGTTGTTGGCTGTCTTCACCTATTAAAACTAAAGCCTGGCATTGACTTATAATTGTTCTGAGACTACTTGGCCAATGTCAGGCTTTCATCTAGATTTTACCTAAAATACAAATAATTATTTAAAATTATTTCTATTTGCTCACTATTCTACACTTAATCTAAATAGAAAAAAGGTGTTAGCTTATTGAAGTTTTACATACACAATTATTTCATGGAAGAAAATCATCCTACACAAATTTTACATCAAATAAATAGTACACACAAGAGAACTTAATAAATATGTTGTAATTATACTTACTCTATCACACAATTCTTCGAATGTTGAATCTAAGACTCGCCCACAACTCTTGGCAAATTTAACATTTCTTCCTAATATATTAATTACTCTTACTCTTACTGTATCATTTTCTTTTGATATCAGAAATTTAAAAAGGTTATCAACACCATTGTTTCCTGGTGTTAACTCATTGTTTCTGAAAGGACAAGATCAATATTATTTGTAATTTCAGAAGTGAGTTTGCAGGATTATATACCAGTACATTAAAATTTAATTGAAGTTGTAGTGTCTTCTGTAGGATTTCACTTCTAAAATATATCATAAGTATATTGGGTTAATGTATTATAGTTTTGCTGAAGATCAAACCCAAATCTGCTCAGTCTGATATGCTGTGTGTAACCACTAAACTTACACACTTTAATCTAAGTACTAACAAAAAATATTTTAATTTTATATACCAAATATTATTATAATCAATATAATGTAAAAACTAAATTTGTTTATAACTTACATGAAATACTTTCCAAATTTGCCACCACTTCCTTGCAATCTGTAGTCAATACCAGAATCAAGTTGTACAACATTACAATGCGCTTTTAATATGGGTATAAATGGCAGGAAATTAGCTCTTTGTAATCCATTCTTATATAGGTCATCAGGTTGCCGATTACTTGTTGCAATGACAACACAACCATTATCAAATAATTGTGTAAAGAGACGTTTTAATATCATTGCATCACCAATATCAGTTACCTGTAAAATATTAGTCTTTAAAACAATGACATTTGTAGAAGTTAAGTCAAGTATGAAAATATACTTTGATAAATAAATCACAAGCCCAAAATCTAGTATGGATAAAGGGGGGCTCAACAACTGGTTAACTAAGTAAAAATTGTACTTTAGGTAAAAAAATATTTAATACTTACTTGAAATTCATCAAAACAAATTAGCCATGATTCCTGGGTTATATCTGCTGCCACAGGTGGTATGGGATCAAATGGTTTTGATCCTTCATCTTTAAACGAACTTGCTCCTTTTCCAGATTTGATTTTAAGTTCATGGATCCTTGAATGGATATTTAACATAAATGAGTTAAAATGTACTCTTAACTTTTCTTTGATCTAAAATTATTACATGTATTATCAAAAATTTAAAATGATAACTAATTATTTAGTTACTAATAAAATTACCGGGGCTGTTTCATAGAACAAATCCATTAACATGGTTTTTCCACCTCCAACACTTCCATATATGTACAACCCTTGAGGTGCTAATATTTTTGGCGGTTCGCTTCTCTTAAAAAATGAAAATATAGGATTACTTTTGGAGGCTGTTGCGGGGCGCTTAAATTTGACAACTTCTTGATATACGCGTTCAAGGTGTTTGACAACATCTTCTTGGTGAGTGTCTCTACTAAGCAAACCCTCTGATATTTTTTCGAATATAAATCCAATGGACCGATTCTTTCCTCTTGTGCTTGTAAAGATAAGAATTTTACACATTGATCACACCGCCTCCAAGTATACCTAATTAATAAAGTGTTTTGCAGCATTGTACGTACACATGTATTTTTATAAAACATTGTTATCGCTAAATTAACTAAAAGGATTTCAAAAATTCATTTTTGTTATTATGTAATATTAAAAACATCATTTTTATCATATGGATATTTTTCAATAAATTATTAGTTTTTGCCACTGCCCACTGCCAAGTGTCAACTGCCAATAATATGTATAAAACTCATGTTGATTTTATGACACATGTATGACATATACATTTGTCATACAATTGACACATCCTTACACATCCATTTTTTTTTGCTGACCACGGACGAAACTTCGTTACTTATTATAAGAGGAAGAGGTCATTCGAAGGTATCGAAGAGACAGAACAGACATTTGCATTTTTAATGTATTTCAAATAGAAAGATTTTCAATTAGTTTTTTTGGTATGGACGATTATTATCCCCGGGTAAAGGATTAATATCTATAATCCATAGCGCTGATGTTGTAAATTTATACAAAGAATGTTGGAGCTAGAATCTCTATGACTGTAACTTACCTGTGCTGATGAAGACCTTGTAGCCATTAGGGTACTTGTATTTACTCGTATTTACCTTTGAAATCATAGTGAAGTCGATTCATCATCACGATAAAAAAATAGCTTATTTATTATTATCCTTTATACTTCCAATAAGTACATACTACATAGTGCATTAATTTATTGACTAATGATGTTTTAATAAAACATACCTCATAAGACGACTCATTGGTCTAGTGGTTAGTACCCCTGACTGCGAATCCATGGGTCCCGGGTTCGATCCCCGGCTGAGACGAACATCGATGTGATGAGCATTTGGTGTTGTGCTTAGGTCTTAGGTGTTTAAATATGTATTTATATGTCTATCTATCTATAATATGTATGTATATCCGTTGCCTAGTACCCATAACACAAGCTTCACCAGATTAACATGGGACTAGGTCAATTCGTGTGAATTGTCTTTAAACAAACAAACAAAAATACCTACTGTTTTTTACTAAAGCGTGTAAATTTTACGAAACACGAAGCAATTCATATGAAAAAATATACATTTTGTTAGGTAGCAAGTGCGATATTACCTACTTACTCTTAGTTTTTGACGTAATTCTGAACAAAAGTATTTTTCTTTTAGCTTCGGTCACTGAAACATTTGGTCCCAAAAGGGTAAACCAATTTATGTAATGGCGCCAATGCCCGCGCAAATCAAAACGTATTGCAGATGTCAATGGACATTGGACGGTCACCTTAATAATAACAAGGACTCTGACGCACCTTTATTAAAAATGAAGTTTAGGTAGTCTACGGAAGTATATGATGAAACATAAATCCTTTTCCATTGTTTTATTCACACTTTTGAGCTGAACGAACTAAATAAATAAAATATTTGTTGTTAAACATACTGCAGTACCATTGAAATATTACATAAGGTTTACAAGCAATCTCTGACAGATAACTATAGAATTATCCATAGACATGATTCTTTAATTCAGAGCTAATAAAACAGTTAGACTCCTTATTTGCCAAGAGGCTATGACGTAGACAAAGAATATTGTAAATAGAAAGTCAACTTAAATTAACATCATTTGCATGGGTGGGAATAACCAAAATTAAATGAATCGCCGCATGAAACGCTAGGCAAATTAACCGTTACACTCCTTGGTCCTTATTACAATAAAATAATATTAAAACCTCCAAAATCCATTTGTATACTATCAAAGTAATGATATCGAACAATGCACAATGGATACCGCTACAACAATGCGCGCTCCTTTTTGAATACTAAATTTTCCTCAACAAAAAATAAATTAATTTATCTCCCTAATTTAGACAGGCAAGTCTGTTTTCAAAAGCAATTTTATCCTAAAAATCTCAAATATTGACTTAGTAAATATTTTTCAAAGACATCTTTCACACAAATTGCAATACAGCGTAGTAGAGCACTTAAGTGATAGATTCGTCGATTAAAAATCTTCTCCTCAAGCTAAACAGGCGAACAATCATCTTATTCAATTTCAGTAGGGGCTTAATAAATTCAACCTCATAATACCAACAGTTTATACAAATTATCCCACTTTGCAATAATAATAAGAATATCTGAGAAAGCAGGATGTGGTCAAATTGAAATCGACATCAGTGCATTGTGGTAAGTGCATAATATATTGCAATCGGAGATAATTTTATCTTGTGTCAAATCGGCAGGGTTGAGGACATGAAAAGGAATTGCTAATCATTAAGCCAATTGGATGAGGGTTTGTTCGGTAATAATGAAATCATACAAATCGTAAATGCGTAAAAAGCTGGAAGAGGCAAGGTTTTATTATATTTGATATATAATCTGTACATTTTTATTTTTTTATGGACGAGAATTGAATATATATTCTTTTAATTATAATATTTTTCTAAAATTATATTATTATATTAAACTAATTTATTTCTTTTTATTTACACAAATACAGTATTTACAATTTTCTTAACCTATAAAGTAATATAAAAATAATTAAAGAAGAAAGAAGAAAATCAAAACAAATTTAAAAAGTTTGGTCCCTGTGGCAGTGTACCTTTAACGCTGGCAGCATTTCCTCGCTGTATTGCGAGACTTATTCTTTGAGCCAGGAAAGTGCCAGCTCTGTGGTCACCGGTACTATCTACCAGGCGCCAACTTAAATCTTTAATAAGCGCCTGTGCACTTGAACCCCACGGCCCAAGAGTCTCTACTCCAAAGGGAACAAAATTGAAGTTGGAGGAAAGACTCTTATATTTGTGCCGTTTGTTAATTTCTGCCTGTTCTGCGGCCGCGCCAGCTTTTTTGCTTGTCCGAAGGAGATGAGACGGGGCAAAGGTGTCTACACAGGTAGCATCCCATACTAAAGCCCGTCCCATTTTCCAAGGGATCAAAGACATTCCATCCGGCCGCTTGCCATCGTCTCTTGCGATGCCTGTTGGCTCCAAAATTGCTGGAACATTGACGGAGGCAAGAGAGCGGCGTATAATGTCGTTTAGCGCGGCATGGCGAGAAAAACGACCTGCACTCTTTTGGCAGTGAAGGCCATGGTGTCCAAGGCTACTTACTTCAAAACCACAGGGACACTTATGGGGAGTACATATGGGCACTCCTAAGCGGAGGCTGATGGCAATTCGAAGTGATTCAGGGTCTAAAAGGGTGCCAGTGTTTGGCGAAGGATAAGCATTAAGCCAATGTCCAGCTTCCCTAGACCCCACAGCCATCAACCTTGCACGGTCTGTTATTGGAATGTGACCTAATAACTTTTTGAATTCACATTTGCAAAGAGGATCATCCCAGCTCCTTTGAAAGTTGACGCTAGAAGGCAAACTCAAGCCTGGGTTGGATGCTATCCACGCGTTTCTTGCATCTGTTAAATCCGCAATCTCGTAGTTTGTAGAATAATATCTAAGGATTTTACCTACCAGACTTCTAGATTTGTGAGCAGATGAGAGAAACGCTGGAAGAGCTACACTTGTTATCTTGCGTACTCCTAATCCGCCAAAGCGAACAGGAAGCGATGCTTGATTCCAAGAAGGTGTATCAAAACGAACATTTAAAATAGATTCCAAAGAAGTTTTTAAAACTAAAACTTAAAAAAACTGAATGATTCCATAGAGGGCTACAGCGAAGTACGTAAGTTAATTTGGGAATAAAAAGGCAGAATTTTAAAATGAACAAAGCTGAGTGTGCTGTAATATCCAGAAGACGGTGAGAAAGATCTTTAAATTTTGATATTGTCGAGTTAATGTATTCTTCAAAACCTTCTTTGAAAATCGGTGCTCCTAAGAGGTACAGCGATTTTTTATTTATTATTTTTATATTTGGGGCTAAGGTATTAATTTTTTTTATTGTATGGTCGGTGTCCATATTCTCACCATGGAGATATATTTCACATTTATCAAAATTTAAAGTTAGACCCAGTGAACTAAAATCTGATATTATTTTAGATAGATCTGAAAGTACTACATCTGCGTTACCTCCTAGAGTACCATCGTCAAGATACCAGACGTTAAAATTTGATTTTAAATTTTGTATGCAAGAATTTATTGCGAGACTAAAAATAGCCGGCCCAAGAGGACCACCTTGTTGACAACCAACTTCTGAAGAGAGTTCGTAACTCTTGTATGTTAATTTTGATGGCTCTGAGTAACACTGTAAAAGATAGTTATATATTTCTGGAATGTTTTCAAAAGACTTAGTCAGCAAGGTGTCCCTGCTGATTGAATTAAATGCATTCTTGACGTCAACTTTCAACAACACATCAAATTTTTCGTTAGAAAAAAGCGTGCGCAAAGCGTGTATAGCAGCTTCACATCCACCTTTAGTGCCAAAGCCAAGTTGTGTTGGTTCAAAAATTTTGTTCAATTTACTAATTATATGTTTTACTGCAATTTTCGAGGTTATCTCGAAAGGCTACCTAAGAATTGGCCTCACCCCACCATCTTTTTTTGGTAAGAGCCACCAAGTTTGCCCCATATAAAATAGGAGCAATAGCTTGGTTTATCTCCCCGCAAAGCATTTTATTTACGAGTTTTTTAAGAGCTTCTAAAAGCCGAGCACCTGTATCACCAACACTGAATGAAGTTAAATCTTTAAGATGTTGGGGTAACAGCCCATCCAAGCCTGCAGCTGATCCTGGTTTAAACGAATTTATAGCGTTTAGAATTTCATCCGTAGACTGAATTTGAAGGCAGGCCTGGACGTCTGTGGGAGGGTCTAAAAAAAAAGGTGTGTCTGGAGCACCGGGGTGTCAGAGGCCAGTACATCATTTGAGAAAAGAAGTCTGGCGGCCCCCTTTAGATCTCCATCGTTAATTTTTTGTTCAACTATTTTTGAGACACATTTTGGTCTTTTTCGAAAGGTTCTAATAGCCGGAATCAAAAATGGATTTATACATGTGGGATCATTACAATTGTTTTTAAGTTTTTGAGTTAGCGAAAGGTTATCACTGGACTGTACATGCAAGAAACTATAAGGAAAAGTCAATAGTTTCTCCCATGAGTCTGTACTGTTTTCTGTTATGCATTGCGTAATATATG